CTGCATTTTTAGTTAAACAGCTGCAAAAAACTTTGTTGTTTGCATAACTCAGTAACTTTTTTAAGAAGTAACTATATAATTAATTGCCCAACATTGGTCATTATTTACTGTATTTTGCAGACAGAGAGTTACAGACTCTCTCCCAGACCACAGACTCATAATACAAGTCAGAGCTTTATAAAAAAAAAAGAAGTTTTTTTCAAAATTGGAGTTCAAGTTATTTTTACTTCCAATAGTGTTAACATACTACACAGGTCATGAACAAGATTTTTTAATTTTCATTGTAAGTGGGCTAAAGCAGTTAATTAAAAGTAGTCTAACATAAATGTAAATGATGTAATTTGATTATTTTAATAAACCATTTAACTTGGATGGATTCGATGCTGGCGTGACCACAGTGCACACGTCCAATGTTGCTCACAGTGGTCCAAGGGATCGTTCAGGGAGTTTGTGTGTTCGCTCAGACACATGAAAAATTAGAGGGACTATTGCTGCTCAGTCACCTGCTCAGCACTCTGCGGCTCCCACGCCGCCGCCACCGCCTGTTCCTGCTGGAGGCCCAGAAAAGTCCCTCCAGCAACCTTTCTCATTCGCCGGGGGTTCAGCAGAACCTCTCCAGACTCGTGCCACGTCAGCTGGAGGGCCCGAGGAGCCTGCCCAGCCTCATGCCACATCAGCTAGGGGTTCTGGAGCGCCCGTCCAGCTGCCTGTCTCCGCTGGAGGGTCCGAGATTTGGGTTTGGGTCCTTTACCTGCCTGCACACAGCCGTTTTATGACAAAACCTCAATGACCCAAAGCAACACTGTAAAGAAGACCGGGCCAAAATTCCTCCACAATGATGTCAGAGGCTGATAAAGTCAAACCAAAGATGATTACTTCAAGTTTTTGCTGCTAAACCTCGTTAAATTAGCACTTAGTATTTGCAATTAAAGTAAAAGAATTGGGGTTTTTTTTTTTCAGTTTTTGTCACAGCTGCGGTGGCAGAGTGGTGAACGAAAGGCTCAAATGCAGGCACTAGCTTTGATGTGAGTAAGCTTTATTTTCAAAATGGTGAGAATACAGACTGAGCGAAGATGGGAAGGACAGAAACTAATATAAACCTAAACTGGCAAAAACTAAAGAAACAAACCTGAAACCATGAATCGCAGAAGAAAATGCAGAAATTATATGCAGAAAGATATGCAGGATAACACGCAGAGAGAACACAGATGGACCAGTCACAAGCAGAGGAAAACACAGGGCTTTAAATACTCACAGGAGCAATCAGGGAATGGGAGACGGGGGGAATCAGAGCTGAAGAGACAAGGGCAAGGAAAACCCCTGATCATCTCTCTGTGTTTCATTCTTTTGTGTCAGTCGTGTCTCCATGTCTGTTCCCTGTGTCACATTTTCACATCTTGCTCTAGGTCTCAGTCTGTGTCTTATGTCCTGTTTTATTTAGATAGTCACTCGTTCATGTTCAGATTAGCTTCACCTGTCTCGTAAATAACACACACATCTGATTTTCTTTTCATTGTGTAGTAGAGAAATCATACAATTATTATTATCTTCAACACATTTATCATTAGTAAGTAAATAGTAGCAATCAAAGTGACACTACAGTTGAGTATGCAAGCAACCACTTAACTAAGGTAACTTAGTAACTAAAGTATTTTCTTACAGCTAAAAAAAAACCATATATTTGTGCTGCAATGAGGAATTTATTTTTAGTTGGCAGTCAAAGTGAAAAGTGTAGAAGCGCCACTGTAGTAGATCATGTTTCTGTAGTGACCCAACCTGGTTTTCTTCATCTCCTGAATCAAGAAAGAACACATAAACACATTTGGTTATTCACACAAAGGAAACTAAACAAAGAGATCCAACTTTATTCCAAACCGATGAAGCCATTTCACCAGGCTCAATGGTTTGGGGGCCATCAGAAGAGCAGTTTGAGACAAAAAGATTGACTTACTGCAACATTTGTTTGATAACAGGTCAAATATCTAGGAAATTAATGTAGGAGAAGAACATAAAATGTAAGACACTTTTTAAACATTTACATTTGAGCGATAATACCTCTGTGAGTCTCTGTCTCTGGATGCAATGAACGTATGGCTCGGGTTTGCCTTTTATCTGGTTTGCTATTGCTTTGTAGCAAATAACACAATCCATCAGAAGCTGTGGAGCAATGGTGGGTTTCAGGAGAAAGTGGTGGTAGATGTATTTCCCGTAAAATCCACTCTGAAAGAAAAGCAGCAAGTCAATGGATTTGGGCAGGTAGACATGGTCAAGCAAACCTGCTAAAGTTCAAATTGAGCATCAGAAAGAAGACAGGGGAATTAAGCGACACTGAACATGGCATGATTGTTGGTGCCAGACAGGCTGGTCTATTTAAGAAACTACTCGTGTACTGGGATTTTGTGGTCGACGCATCACTGCAATACGGACCACTATCTCTGAGGAATGTTTCAAGCAACTTGTTGAATCTATGCCATGAAGTTTTAAAGCACATCTGAAGGCAAAAAGGAGTCCAACCCAGAGAATGGATGCATGCTTACATTAATGCTTAAATTAATGAAATGTTTTTATAAGGTAAACACATTCAAATTCATGCAACCACAGAGAAAAAGTTCCACAAAGAAATCTGCCAGAAAAAAACTGTTCCTCAACGTAACTCCAGGTCTATGCCCACAGCCCACTAACAGGCTACAGGGCTTTTCTTTGGTTGTTTGTGGTGGTCACACTTTAATCTGCAGGGGCTGTGGCCTCTATATGGCTCCACCTCCTAAAATATGAGACCGTTTCTGGAAAGAGGACCCAAGTGCAGGATGCCAGGAGGCAGAATAAAAGTCCAAATGAATCTTCATGTGCAGAGATCGCGCAGAGGAAGACAAACAGTCAAGGGCCAAATTCCAAAATATATCACTGTGGTGAACTAAAAATAGAGAACAGTGATTTCGACCGGTGCACAGAGGCTGTGATGCTCATGGTCAGTGTCCGACTACATCGAATGATTCAGAGACTAATTCATTTAATTCCACCTTAATAACAACTGAATACTGTCTATAGTATAAAGACAATATATAGTATACTACAGTAACAGTATTAAAGTAGGAAATGGCTGTCAGCCAAGATAGCTCATGAAGCTTATATCTGGTTGAACTCAGCTGTGTAAATCCACAAAGAGCAGCAGGTCAGCTGATCACAGTCTGTACACTAAGAAATAATTGTGAGTTGTGATGGTTTTCCTCACACTGAGCCCCTACAGCCAGTTTTAGGTTTCCCCCACTTGCTGAATCCCACTTTAACCCCTTATTGTACTCATTTTCCTGTTTAGATGTAGAGTCAAATTCACTCTCTACAATGTAGGCAACACAAAATAGATATTTACTTTCTTACTTTGAGTGCATTTCGGAGCCTGGACCTTTTCACTTTTACTTTAGTAAAGAAGTTGATTCAGTATTTAATCTTTTACTGGAGTATTTTTTTCTGTATTTTTTACTTTAGTAAAGAATATCTCTACTTTTGCCACTTTTGGCTATTCTTAACTTTAATGTCTAATTATGCAGGAAGAAACGTGAAATCCTGCAAGTTTTCACCAAATACGCATCAGTTTTGATTCTAATGAACAGCTGTGTGGAAGCATCAGTCTGTTAAATAGTACTCCAGTCTTTGCACCTCATTATCTAAACATAAACTGTCAACAGTTTCAGTTTTATCAGACCTTTTTCTGTACAGCTGCTATTTGGCAAAAAAAAAAGGAGAGATGAAGAGAGAGAGGAGAGTGCATCAAATCGGTGTTACCTGACACCAACATTTCAAGTGTTTTTCTCTCTCTTTAACATTAGGATTTAACATTTGTCTTTTAAATTTTAGCTGTTTCTGTTCTTATGCAGACCTTTAGGAGACTGTTGACACAGTCAGTAAGGTTATCACACCCCATCAGTGAGGCAGCTACAGGTTTCATTAGAAAATAAAAGAAAAAGGGGAAGAGTTGGTGAAAGAGCAAACTTCCAAACCAAAAAGATGCTTACCTCAGTTTCTAACTTGTCCACACTTTTCAAAAACTGATAACGTTGTTGGATCTTAGAATGAGTGGTGAGCTCTTGCCGTACCAGATTGACTCCTTTTTTGTAGATTTCAGGCAGCCCATTGTAAGGCCGCCAAGCTTCAGCAGAATACAGCACGGCAGCAGCACAAACCAAAAACAGCAAGCCAGCAGCCATATTTCTCCAAATGCGTGAGAAGAGCAGGGAAAACCAAGCACTGAGTGCAAACCAAGTGCTATTATAGGAGATTAAAACACACTCAGTGGGGAATATCACAGAAGACCACGGTTGTCAAATGAGAAGTTAGACTACATCCTAATGCATTATTACAATTAAGTCCTGGTTCACTAATCCAGATCCTGGAAACAAGCCCAAAATGTGGTGACAAGCTTTTGGCACCAGGACAGGATATAACGTTTAGCAGTAATTAGTGCAAATTTTTTTGTTTTGACTTCATTAGATGGCTCTTTGTTGTCACCTGCACCAAAAAAAACAGTTGTATTTGGGCCAGGAAAGCAAATGGGATGGTCATTTAAACATTTTATTTCCATGAAATGAAAACTCGTGAAGATTTCAGAGTCAAACATAGGCCTTATGAACACTTAACAAATGTTGATCCATGTATAGTGCATCCAGAAAACATTCACTTGTTCCACATTTTACAGCGTTATTCCAAAATGGATTGAACACATTTTCCACTTCAAAATTCCGCACAAAAAAAATGACAAAGTGAAAAAAGTTTGCATGTAAATTTTTGTGAATGTATGTACTAATATGTACTCTCAGCCTTTGCTTAATATTCTGCTGAAGCACGTTTGCAGCAATTACTTTTGCTGCAATTATCTTTCTTGTCGCTTGTTTGAAAATAAAATTTGGCCTGTAAAGAATCTGAATTTCTAACAAATATAAACAACACAGTCATGCATTGTTGTTGGGTAATGCAACAGAGGGGTGACTTATTGCACACACACAGCTGTTTTACTCTTTTTATTTCATGTAACACATGGAATACATTTAGTTTAAAAGGAAAGAAGCCTCCTTTCACTTGTTTATCACAAGTTAGTAAGTCAATACTAAAAAAGTGACACTACAGATGAGTATACATGCAACCTCTTAACTAAGGTAATTAAAGATTGCCTTTATAGTTTTGTGGATATATTTGTGCTGCAATTAGGATCGTATTAGCCGCTAGTACGAGACAAAAGTGTAGGAGAGCCCGTGTGGTAGATCATCTCTCTGTAGTGCTGCAGCCTGGCTTGCTTCATCACCTGAATCAAGATAGAACACAAAAAGATGTCTGGTGATTATTCACACTCGGAAAACTAAACAGACACCACAGACCATCCAGATCTAATCTAGGTTTTTGAGCCATCAACAGCAAAAAAAAAGGTTTATGCAGCAAAACGTATAAAATGTAAGAAAAAAAAGTATTTTTTTAAACACATGAGTAAAATTACCTCTGTGAGTCTCGGTTTCTGGATACAGTGAACATATGGATTGGGTTCATCTTTTATCTGGTCTCCAAGTGCTTTGAAGCAAATTGCACAATCCATCAGAGGCTGTGGAGCAATGACAACATAAAGAGCTTTAGTTCTGATAGGCAATAAACTACTTTTTTTTTAATGTTAGCATTCGCTCACTCGATCGTTCCTGAAGGGACATCTCTGAGGGTCAGTCTCAGTTGTTCCTTTCGGACACTTGGTGGGTTTCAGGTGAACGTGATGGAACAAGTATTTCACATGAAATACATCCTGAAAGAAATAGAGGTAAATTTTATGAGGTGCAATTGCAAAATGGACTAAAACCTAGCAGGTTTCATCGCTGATTTTTCTGTAGTAGTCAGCTCACGCAAAGCACTGTGGTGCAGAGGTCATGTACAGGAAGGCAACAATTAAGGGCCAAATTGCAAAAACAGTCTGAGAAAGTGGTAAACAAGCAAGAAGGAAACACTTGAGCTCTAGTATGTTTCCGGCTTACTAAATCCACTGCAGCTGTGCCCCTTGGCGTGCATCAACAGATAAACACATACATGTTTACTGTATGAGCCCCTGCGTAATTATGAGTGTCTGTAGATACGTAGCAAACATCACTGTCTTCCTGGCAACAATACTCAGCTGAAGTCATCAGCAGATTTGGGGAGCCGGGGATAAAATCTGCTGCAGTTCAGTTATCTGCCTCACTCTCTCAGCCTCACATCTGTACAATCTTTGTTGGCTTTGTTTAGTCTGTTTGGCCCCCAAAGCACCCTGCATCTTACCTTGCACATGCAGCCACATGTACACCACTCATACCCCTGATATCAGTCTAAAATTCCAACATGATTTTTTCCCCATTCAGATTTGTTGCATTTTCAAAGTGTTCCTTTAATTTTTTGAGCAGACTGTAACTGTTTTGTTTTTCTGCACATAAATCTAAATGCTTGTGAATGTTTTAAGTTTCAAAGTTCACATAATCCAACAGAGATGGGAAAACAAGTTTGAACCTGAATTCTCCGGAGCCACAGAGAACTGCGGCTGAAAGCACTGAAAGCAGAATTTAAAGTATTTTTCTCTTTATTAACATAATTCAATGTTGTCTTTTAAGTTTTAGCTAGAAACATTTATGTTCTTCAGCAGAGCTTTAGAAGACTGTTGGTGCAATCAGCAAGGCTATCTCACCCTATTACAGATCTGATACTGATGTTTTTATACAGAACGTTAAGCAAAAACACTGGTAACACTGATTCTGGTCAAGAGTTTTCAAAAGAGTCGACAGCCAAATCTAAATGATCCTTACCTCCTGTTCTAATTTCTCCACAGTTCTCAAAAAGCGATAATGGTTTTGGACCTTATCGAGGGAGCTGAGCTGTTTTATTGCCAGATCCACTCCTTTCTTGTAGATTTCAGGCAGCCCATTGTAAGAATCCTGAGCTTTGGTGGAGTACAGCACAGCAACTGCACAAACCAAAAGCAGCAAGCCGGCAGCCATGTTTCTCTGAGTCTGGGAGGAGAGCAGGGCAGCTTGGAGAATAAAGACCCGCGTTCAAAACAAGTCCTTTTATGGCTTTAGGAATGACAAGTGAAACTAAACATACCTATCAACAACAGACCAGCTGCACTCACTGTTTATATCCCCCAGTTTCCTGTAATACCCAGGAGGCCACAGACTAAAACTTTCAGATGGAAAACATGCTCAATGTCATAATAGGAATTTGTTCTTACAATAGCTAACTTATCCAGAATACGATCTAAAGTGTGATTACAGCTGTGGATTAGCTCATTGACAATCTAACGGTACATCTAAAGACGACCATCTTCAGCTTTTATGCTCTAGGAGCAGAAACATTCTCTGCAGGGATGGGGTTACATAACACCTGGGGATGCTTACGTAACAACTTCATTTCAATGAAACCACAACTCATAAACATTTGTTAGTCACACACATTGCAGCAAATTATCACAGCAAAGAAAACTCATTTCATTCTACTTAAACCAAAGAAAAAGTAAATGCACAGGTATTACACTGTTGTAGCCGAGCCAGTTTTATCTACTTCATAGATCAGAGTTCCCAAAGAGGCTTCATAATAATATAGTAAAGGAGAGAAGTAACAAACGTTTATAAACATTTTATGGGGATTAGATTGCTTTTATCCAGTAACTTTTCTGGACCACAAATGACACCATGTGACAAGAGGCCCCACTGAGGGACCTTTCAAAGGCTCGTGGGCTAAAAAGATTGAGAAGTACTGGTTTAATAACTTGCCAAT